AAAAAAAAAAAAAAAAAAAAGCTGCATTACATTCTTGGATTTGCTTGGTTGTCTGCTCCACTAAGTTGTAACCTCCCTCAAAGTAGGGAAGATACCTAGTCACTAAGCCAATCCTTAGTAAGAGTATAGTAGTGCAGAGCTTTTCAAGTACCTGTGTAATGATCCTCCACATTGGGATTACTACTTTCCACTATTTTTTATAAATTAAAAAAAATATTTTATTATTTTCATTTTATGTGTGTGTATTGCCTGCATGTAGGTAAGTGCACCTGTGTCATGCAATGCCTGTGGAGGACAAAAGAGGCTGTCGGATCCCCTGGAACTGGAGTTACAGACAGCTGTCAGCTGCCATGTGAGTGCTGGGATTTGAACCTGGATCTTCTGCAAGAACAGCCAGTGTTCTTACCACTGGGCCATCTCTCCAGCCCTTTTTAAAATTTTTTATTGAATTTTTGTGTATTTCAAAAATTTTCTGTGATACAGGAAAGTCATCTTTATACCCCTTCCCCCTTCTCCTTTGGCACCCTCCCATAGCTCCCCCACTGGAGCGCATACATTCTGTCATTTGTATTAAGGCCTATTATGTATGTAAAGTGTCCCGAGATGTCCCTCAGTGCAAGTGCATCCACTGGGATTTAGTCAGCCTAACTAGAGTCTCTCCCTTCAAGATCAGCTCTTCCTCACCTAGCAGTAATCAGCTTCCAATAAGTCTTCGATTAAGATTGGGGCTTGCTGTTCATTTCCACAGTTCTGTGCTGGATTTTTGTCTACCTAAGTTTGTATGGGTCTTGTACATGCTGACACCATTGCTTAGGTTTGTATGAGAAGGGTCCCAGGCGCCTATAGGACTATTTCCTTATGGTCATGCACCTCTCCCTGGCTCTTACCATCTTTCCACCCCCTCTTCCACAATGCTCCCTGAGCCCCAGGTGGGTGGACTTCAATATAGGAGTCCTATCGAAGGACCCACACTCTGCCTACTCTTATTCTCTGAATTTTGACCATTTGTGGCCTTTTCTGTTCCTGGCCCTCTGTTGCATGAGGGAGCTTCACTGATGAAAACTGAAAAGATACATTAGTGTTCTCTTCATCCCTTGTTCTATGTTTCATGAGTCTTAGGTATAGAGGTTGCATCCTAGATGTGGCACTTGGGCTTTGGCAATTTACAGAGAATCTCTGTGTGTGACTAGTGGTGTAACTGTAATAAGCTCTGTCTGTTGAAAAGAAGCCACTTTGATGGATGGTGACTGGGATACCTGTTTATAAGGAGTTGGTGCTAGGATCCACAAATGAAGGAGAACATATGTCTTTTGTTTTTCTGAGTCTGTGTTACTTCACTTAGTATAACAGTTTCTAGATCCATCCATTTACCAGTAAATTTCACTATTTCATCTTTCTTTACTGCTGAGTAGAACTCCATTGTGTAAATGTAGCACATTTTCATTAACCAGTCATCAACTGAGGGGCACTTAGGTTGCTTCCATCTCTTAGCCATTGTGAAAAGAGCAGCAACAAGCATAGTTGTACAAGTGTCTCCGCAATAGGATGAGTCCTTTGGGTATATGCCAAGGAGTGGTATAACTGGATCATATGGTAGTTTCATTTTTAGTTTTTTAAGAGTTCTCCACTCTGCTTTCATTGGGGGTTGCACGAGTTTGCAATTCTACCAGCAGTGAATGAGTGTTCCCCTTTCTCTACATCCTCGCCAGCATTTGGTATCATTTGTTCTCTTGATCTTAGCCAGTCTGACTAGGGTAAGATGAAATCTTAAGGTGGTTTTAATTTTCATTTCCCTAATTACTAACAATGGCGAACATTTTTTAAGATGTTTCTTAACCATCTTTATTTCTTCCTTTGAGATCTCTGTTTAGATCTTTAGCCCATCCTTTAACAGGGTCATTTGTTTTCTTGATTCTTTGTTTTTTGAGTTCTTTATCTGGATGTTAAGCCTCTGTCAGATGTGTCACTGGTGTTACTCTGTGGGTTTTCTCACTTTCTTATTTCTTTTGCAGTACAGAAACTTTTTAGTTTAATGAGGTCCCACTTATTCATTGCTGACCTTAATTCCTGAGCAACTGCTGTCTGATTCAGAAAATCTGGTCAATACCGTTGACCTGAAATTCTCCTTCCTCTATGCCTATGATACACAGATTTGGTCTTTTCATGGTATCCCACATTTCCTACATATTCCATTCCTGTGTTTTAAAAAAATTTTTTCATAATCTTTGCTTGAGCGGTCCAATTCTTCAACTTTACCCTCCAGTGTTGATACTCTGTCTTTCATTTCATCCATACTATCGGTGAGGCTTTCTCCTGTTGTTTCAAATTGACTTGAGTTTTTCACTTCCTTCTTCATTTCAGCCTGAGTTTTCTTTAATGTCTCTATCTCTTTTGTAAATTCAGTCAGAAGTTTATCCCTATCTTCTTTTATTCCTTTGTTTCTGTGTTCTTTAAATTCATTGAATTCCTTGATTATGTTAATAACTGTTCTTTTAAATTCTGTGTTCTGGATTATCTCTAGGGAGTTCTCCTTGTAGACCTCTTCTATAGAACTGGTGGAGTTTGGTGGGAACATGTTGTTTTGGTTTTTCCATATTATTTTCCCATTGTGGCTTTGGCATGTGGATTTCTTTCACTGTGGTTCTAGTATGAAACTCAAGCCTTCTTTTGTTGAGGTGAAGTCTGCTTCTGTTTGTATTACTGGTGTGCCTTGGTTGTTTTCTTATTGGGTCTGTGAAGCTGGTTGGTCTGGGTTTCAGGTTCTCTCAGGTTTTTGTTTTGTTTTGTTTTTTGTTTTTAATTTTAACATGTGTGAGACCAAGCATTGCTGGCTGCTACAGGTGTCTAGAAGATAGGTATAGTTAAGAAACAACACTGTTTTGAGCAGGGGGGAACAACAGCATAGCACTTAACAGCTATACTGTAGTTAAATCCTGCTTGTTCTCTCAGATTTTATTTTGGCGGGAAGGATGGCTTCAGATCAGCCACTCAGGAGCTCCCACAGAGGCCTTCAGTAGGGCAGAGAGGTCTACCCCTGGGGGTATGGGAGGGGCCTCACATAATCCCAATTAGGGGAATGGGCACAGCACAATTTGGGGAAGCTCACCAACACTTGGAGGCCAGATCCAGGCACTCTCAGGTGGTCTGCTAAGGTCTCTGCCCCTATCCTACAGTAGGGTAGAAAGTTCTACCCCTGGGGGAATGGGAGGACCTTAACGCAATCCCAATTAGGGGATTGAGCACAGCACAATTTGGGGAAGCTCACAACCAGGGAGGCCCATCCAGGCACGCTCTCAGGTGGTCTGCTCCTTTCCACTTTTTTTTTTTTGGTCTTTTTGAAACAGTCTTGCTGTAGCCCTAGCTGGCCTAGAACTCACTATGTAGACCAGGCTGGCCTCAAATTCACAGAGATTCGCCTGCCTCTGCCTTCCAAGTGCTGGGACTACAGGCATGTGCCACCATGTCCAGCTCCTTTCCACTATTTTTAAGGTATGAAAACAGAATGACAGTTGACTTTACCAAGGTTTCATAACTAGCAAATAGTAAATCAGGACAGAAGGTAGGTCTAACTTGTGTGCCCATGATTTACCTTTCTAGTTATCTTCTAGATACACTCCTATTTGTCAGTTTTTCGTGTATATGTGGCACCCCAAATTGAGCCTAACACTCAACAAGCAGTCTGACAAGTAATGAAAATAAAATAACCATTCACATTCTACTAATCC